GAGTGAACTGACGTCGAGTGATATCATACGCAATCCGTTTATGTTAGTGTCTTTAATCTGGGTCACTAAGTCGTAGGAATCCTTCAATGTGTGATTAGTGAATTGTGCTCGTACTGGTTCCAGAATCGCTACCAGCCACTTGGCCAAGGCATGGCACAGTATCGGAAGAGCAACCTCATAGTCCTGCCTCACGTGATAGCTTCTGTAACTTCCAGTTTTATGACGCATAAAAACCATTTTGGGGCAGCCACTTCAGTTCTGTTTTACATTTTGCAGGGAATTTCACTCAATTGGTCTGGAGTACCACACGCGAAGTTGGATTTGGTAAAGCTCGTGCCCCTGGAAAATGCATTGTAGTCGCTCATTACCGCCCACCTGGAAATGTTCGTGGTCACTATGCTGAAAACGTTCACCCCCCAGCGGGTGGTGTACCTTCTGGGGCAGGACACAGCTCTGGAACACACTCAACTGACAGTGCGAAACATACTACTGGTTAGTTGCTAAAACTTGGTTATAAATTAGGACAAAATTTTGTTTTTCAATAACTTCACAAAATACATTTGTCTAAGTATTTAACAATTCAAATTTAGTGCGGTTGATTGAAATGAAGGATATATTTTTACAATTTGAATTTCATTTGGACGAGTTCTTTACTGTCATTTTGCAGTGAAGTTGAATGAAGTATCCACTATGAATTTCATACAGTATACAATTTAGGAATGTGTATAAAAGCTAACCATAAAGTAAACCTAACACTAAATCAAACATGAGGGAAATACCAATTGCCAGTTTTCAGCCCTCACCACCTGTCCGCTTATTGCCAGATACTTTAATTCTTATTGTCACTTGGTAAATAAAAAGTTCTGTTTATAATACCATGGTTTCAGAAACATCTGAAGGGAATTTTACAGCACTTCGATTTTGCTTAATTATATATAAATAAGGAGAAAGTTTCAACTGAACTGTATATTGCATTACAGATTTGTACTCCACACATACTCGTAATTAACATGCGAAGAATGCATAACAACGGTTCTGTTTGATTAACTACGCATAGGTCTTCTTCCTGGTTGGGGCTTTCTCGTGTACAATTTTTTTATTTGGCATGTTTATTAAGGTTCATCCGTGTAAGGCCTGGACAATGTAATGTGATGGGGAACAACCGGTCTTCGTATGATCATCCTTTGGAATATGTGAATAATCAGCGCTATACCTTATGATGTTGAGGTGCGATTTGAAAGGTCTAAAGCTTTATCATTTGAACGCACTCCATTTCTTTTCACCATAGCTTTGTACTAACATATTTCATAAATTTACTTCTAAAATGAAAATTAGCTTGGACTTTTTCACAAAGAAGTGAATAATTAGTGAACACATGTACATGATGTTTGGTTTTTTCTTTGTTTATGCGGATCTATAATCAAAGATTTTGGTTTTTATCTTTAATAAATTAATATTTTGCCATGGAATCTACCGTCAATTCTTCAATTTTTACAAGAAACCAAAAAGACTGTTGTCACCGAGAATGTCACAGATCCGGATGGTTCAAAGTATACAGTGCGTCGTGAGGTTGTGGAGTCTGTAGGTCCTGATGGACGAGTAAGTAATTCCATGCCATGGGAAGAAACGTTGTGGTTTTGTGTTGCATATACTTGACACGCTACATGCAGCCTCTTTTGGCTTGGAAATCTGCATGAAATCTTAGCATACGACACAATAGCATATCGCGTTTGCAACATTTCAAGCTATATTCTTAGATAAAATTATTTTGCATGTTTTTCCGTTAGCACGACGATGTACTGCTCCCACTAATTAGCATTCTAGTATTAGTTTCATGTAGTGAAACATCTAGAAGTTGTTGGTGAAAACTGATATATATATATATATATATATCACTCACTTTAGGCACAGATTTGTACCAGACAAGTCGTGGTTTAACAAACTTGTTGATCCGTGGTTTCTTAGTGAGTATATCTCTACCATAGACTTGGACATGCATTGCAATTGTCACCGAATAGATTGCCTCGGCGATCGATGTTTGCCAAGGCAGGTAGCGGATGGAAAAAGGTCAAGGGGGGTCAAACCAAAACCTGACATGAGGGTATGAAAACTTTAACCAGGACACTGCGTCATATGAGTTCCGTTAGGCTCCCTAGATGGAGACCTCGGGATGATCGTAACCGGTGGCTAGAGACACTAAGTGATATGGCTGAGTGTTGTAAGCAGTAACGCGTGTGCATCCACTCAATATTCTTGCAACGCTAGTTTATATGAATTATCTACCTTCCCTTTGAATTTGTTCTCAACGTTCCAATCTGCATTCTGTTCTTCTATCCAAACCGGCGCATGGAAGTGCATGGCTAATGGTTGTAAAAACTGAAAACTGAACTACCAGGTTTCCCAAACTAAAGTAGTTTGAAGTTTTACAACTGAAGCTGTTTTCTAGCCAATGTTGGACCCCCATGGCAGCATGACCTTGCTAAACTGGCAGTCCATTCGGAGCGGGTGTCCAATTAGTCGAAACATTTTCTTCAAGTGTATTTCACACATTAAGCGTGTTCAATATGCCCTAGCAAATAGTCGCCATCTCAAACCGATGTGTTGTGGACCCAGTTTGTACGTCTGTTCTTTGAAGGTTTGGAACCGGGGTTTTCCAGTTTGTTGCTTATGTTCTACCGATCGGGTTATAGCCTCAAATATTGGCTGCTTCTCTTCTCATTTCAGCGAAAATACCCTAACCACGAGAACGCAATACGTTAATTTGATCCAGCAGATGCTTTATGCGATGCACTGAATGAGAGGTCTCTTCAGGCCTTGGATAAAAATATTTCCCAAGCATTGTTGTTTGTATTGTGGCCTACAAATCCCTTAAGTTGCGGCTCTTGAGTAGTTGTTTACTTCTTCCTTATACTTTTCTATTTGGTCTCATTTGCTGCAGTGTTAGCCATTTTTGCATGACTCGTCTAAAATAGCACCTTTCATCGCTCAGGTAAAACGCGTGACAAGCGAAAGTTTTGCGGAAGCAGCAGAGATACCCGGTAGGAAATCATTTACTGGTATAGAACACAGTGGGGTAAGTCACAGTTTCTTCCTTCAAACCGTGGATTTTTTGACGAAAAACGGTGCTATTTTACTTGTTTGGGTGCTTGTGTTAATAATTAGAAAGCATTTAAGCATTTGGGCGACCAATTCTCGAACAGATTCATAGACTAGGGCAAAGCGAAACGAATTTCACTTTATGTTCTCGTGACCAGTCGATTTTCACTTTAGATACAGCATTAAGCGGACGGAAAGTAGTAATATCCGACTGTGCTACAAACAGTACATCTGAACGGACGGAAGTTCTGTCCCTTTTATAATTGTTGGTCAACTTACACAAATCTTGCTTACTTTAGTGAATGCTAAACATTTAGATCAGTTGCATGGCCCGGAGATCATCACATACCATATTCAGTTGATTGAGAACATGCATCCACGCATCCAGTTCCTATTTCGCATCTCACATATAATCTCGGCTCGCTTTGGAATTTTTCTCTTACAAATTGCTCCATTTTTCGCATTTGTTTCAGCAGTCGATGCCTGATAACAGCGCAAAGAGTCTGGAGTCGTTTGGTGAAGCTGTCACCGAGGCTCATAACGCCTGCCGAGCACGTCATGGAGCTCCTGCATTAAAATATGACCCAGTAAGTATAACTATCATTTTAACTCTCTCCTTCATTTTTTATCACACACATTTTTGTGTGATGAGCAGCGGATGGGGCGAACCTCATTGTCCCGTTAACCATGAGCGAGATTCTCCCTACGCCTGATAAACAACCGCAGAAAAGCCGCCGAAAACGGATGCCCACAATACACTATCACCGACAGTTGCAAATCGGCCTTCGAAGCGGAACTATCAGATCGCCTCTCAATTCAACCATCAGC